GGGACAAGCCCCGATCAGCTGGTTTGGGACCCCCCGGCACCTGGCACTGGACAATTGTTTGTTGACTGGCTGAGAGGATGAGGGACAGGTGACAACTCAGCCCTTCAGTGAGAATGGAGGAGAGAAGCAAGACGGGGAGAAGAAAACCAAAGATGGAGATGCCCTGCTCTCCTAGGGCCCCAAGAGAGGGCATCCTTACCCCAGGGGATGACAGGTGGTCCAGATATGCTGCCTGCTGGGCACCATCCCTCCGCTCAAGGCCTGGTCCCGCGGGCAGGGCATTGGAAGTCAGCTGGCCATTGGCTGAGGTGGCCGGGTAAAGTCTGACGGTCCGGGACAGCCCCACGCGCTGCTGGGAGGGGCGGGGCTGGCTGAGCTCACTCAGGCTCCTGTGGAGACAAGCGAGGCGCAGGGGTTTGCACTGAAGAGCAGTGTCGCTGTGCAACCCCTGCTCAGGATGCCCACCCCCACCTGCACCAGAGAGTGCTCTCTCTTTGGCTGCCAAGAAAATGAAGGTGCCCTGGCAGAGGACTGTGCTAAGGCCAGCCAGCTAGGTCAGAGGGAGTGCCTATCCATATGTGGAAAAGCCAGGCTTTGGCTGGGCATTCTGGGCAAGTCACTCAGCCTCTCTGGGCCTCAGTTCCCTTGACTGCAAAATGAAGGTGTTGGACTGATCCCATGTAGCTCTAACATTCTGAGTCTTTGAGACGCTGTGGACCAGCCCCTGCCCCCAAACCAAGTCCTGTGCCTACCCACTGCCACTTCTTTTTTTTTCTTTACCCCCACTCAAGGATATGTTTTTATTGATTGATTGAGTGAGAGCGAGAGAAAGAGAGAGAGAGAGAGAGAGAGAGATCGGTTGCCTCCCTTACATGCCCTGACTGGGGATTGATGTATGGAACAACACTCCAACCAACTGAGCCACCCGGCCAGGGCCCTCTACCCTTTTCTTTCCTTTTTTTTTTTTTTTTTAAAATCCTGACATGAGGATATTTCTTCCATTGATTTCTAGAGAGAGTGGAAGGGAAGGAGGAGGGGAAGAAAGAGAGAGAGAAACATCGATGTGAGAGAGACACATCGATTGGTTGCCTCCCGCATGTACTCCCACCAGGGCTGGGGAAACCTGCAAGTGAGGTATGTGCCCTTGACGTGGAATCAAACCGTGACCTCTTGGTTCATAGGTTGATGCTCAACCGCTGAGCCACACCGGCCCTCTGCTACTTCTTAATGCAACCTTTCTAGCACATTACCTGTGGCATGGGTGCCCAACATATACACATTCACAGATTGATTCAGGGGCAGAACTTAGACTATCCCTTTCATTTGTTTTATTGAAAAAATAATATAACAGCAATATTCAAGGAGGAAAAAAATGAATTTGTCACCCCCACACCAAGAGAGCAAATAATTTTGCATATTTCTTTTCAACCCTTGCTCAAGTATATGTTCTTAAATTATTGTCATCACCTGTAGATTTTGCACTTAACATGCTGTCACGTGTTTCTCTCATTGGAACTCCACGCTAATGGCCCCAAGATTCCTGAGCTCAAATCCCTTAAGGGCCAGCTGAAGACCAGCAGGGTAACCACCAGCTTTCCTGGACAGTACATCCCCATAATGATGTCACTTAGTTAAATGTGATGTGCCTACACCCTGCCCAACACTCTCAGGTGTTCAAACAGCAATGGGAAAACAAATGGGTAAGGGGCTCTGTGCCCCCCCCCACCTTCATCCTCACTGGCAGCTCCACCTTATCTCATTTATAAATGAGCTTTCATATGCAATTTTGCTTGGTAAGTGCTCTGCTGCCAAAAGAACATTTAAAAAAATCACTGCAAGGTGGATAGGACGGTGGTAGCTACCATTCACTGAGCACTGATTCAATGCATCATCTTATTTGTGTTATTTTATTGATTTTAAAAAAGTCAGTTGCAGAATAATATGGATAGTATGCTTCCGGTTTTGTGTTTTAAGAAAACTTCTCTCTGTCTCCCCCTAAAAACATTTACACAGGCATCGGGAAAGTTTGGGAGGACTGTACACAGTGGCTGCCTCTAGGGAATGAGGGTGCCTGTGTGTGTCTAACTACTGTTCTAAACTTTGTATGTTTCTATATCTGTGGAATTTTTTATAAAAAACATGCATCCTTTTGTAATAAAAATAAATCTCTATTTCTCCCAGCAACTCCATTTTATAGATAAGACAACTAAAGCTCAGGAAATGCACGGCAGATGTGTGTAAATAACGAGGATCCACGGTGGACTAGGATGGCTAACAGAGGTGTAGGAATTCAGAGGTAAGAAAGACTGACAGTTGAACTACCCATTCAAGAGATTGTTAGGAATTTTACAGTCAAAAGTGAGGAGCAAGACATTCCAGGTAAGAAAAATAACATAAGAAAATGCATGGAGGTGGGAAGCATGGGCCATATTTAAGGAAGAATAATGAACACAGTTAGATAAAACACAGAATTGAGGAGAAGGGAGGGAAGGGAGATAACATCCATGCAGTGCCTACCAGACAGTGGCCTGGTGCGTGCTATGTGTTTTACATAACATATTATCTACTTGTCCAAACAACCCTATGATCAAAACACTAGGTTTGGCCAAAACCACCTTAAACAAAGTAAAATGACAAAATGAGAAAAATATGTGCAACTCATGTATAGAAAAAGACCAATTTCCATTAAATATAAAGAGCTCTTACAAAGAAAAAAGACAGACCAAAATAGCCCGAAAGGAAAAATCAGCAAAGGAATATGAACAGCTCACAGAAAAAAATACAAGTTTTCCTAAACGCATGAAAATATGCTCAATCTTTCTCATTCTAAGAGATGTGCAAATGGAAACTACTCTGAGATGGCATTCTGTAACCCATCCGATTAGCAAAAATCCCAAAGTTTAATAATAAACTAATTTGATGAGATCATAGATTATGCCGACACAGGCGCTCTCAGATGTTGTTGGTAAGGATGTAAATTGGTACAGCCCTATGGACAGCAATTTGGCGAAGTCCACCCACAGCACAGTGCACCTATGCTTTGCCCCTCCAGTTCCACCTCTGAGACTGCGCTGCAGATAAACCTGCTGTGGTGGACGCTGCAGGTGCCCAGCCCAGGTCCCCATTGGCTTCTGCTGAGTCCTGCTCTAGGCTGATGGCAGCCACTTGACAGGCTCCGCCCACTATCGTGACCACTAAGCCAATGACTGCTTGAACCAGAAGCTCAAAAGCCCCACCCACTTGCCTCAAGGTGGGACCACTCTGCATGCTCCACCCTTAATCAGGCCTTGGCTTGATTTCTCCAGGACCAATTCTCACGTGGCTCTTCCCACCTACCCATTCTTTTCTTTCTTTTTTTAAATTTAACTTTATTGTTGAAAGTATTACAGATATCCCCCTTTTCTCCACCCATTGATCCCTTCTAGCCCACACCCAGCCCTGTCCCAGGCCTTCACCACACTATTATCTGTGTCCATGGGTTATGCATATATGCATATAAATTCTTTGGTTAATCTCTTCCCACCCACTCACTCATGCCTTCCCTCTGAGATTCGACAGACTGTTCCATGCTTCTATGTCTCTGGATCCAGTTTGCTCATCTGTTTGTTTTGTTCATTAGATTCCACATATGAGTGAGATTGTGTGATACTTCCACCTACCCATTCTGCTTCCCCCCCTCCCTTAGCTCTCCCCCAATAAATCACTAGAATCCATTTCCCAGCTGCACCTCCAGGGGAATCTGACCCAAGACACTTGTAAATGTCAAAAATGGTGGATGGGCAAGATTATTCATAACAGCGCTATTTTGTAATAACAATATTTTGTAAAGAATAGAAACAACTGAAGTGCCCTGCCCTAGGGGATTGGTCAAACAACTAGGATTGGTCAAACATCCACAGGATGGAGTCATCTGCCCTCAAAACAGAAAGAAGCAGCCCCTCTACATCGTAGGGAAGGTCTCCAAGATGCTTTGAAAAGTGGAAGAACAGCCCCGGATCTGGCCCTCTCACTGTGTTTGTGCAGATAGTGAAACAGCAGTCATTTTTGTACATTTTTAAAAGGATGAAAAAAATCAAAAGAAGAAGGAGGATATTTCATGACATGAGAAAGTGATATGAAAATCAAACTTAAGGAGGCTGGGGAAAGGGCAATGGGGGGAAAAAGGAGATATATGTACTACTATGTGTAATACTTTAAACAATAAAAAAATAATAAAATAAAAATTAAATAAAGGAAAAAAAGAAAATCAAACTTAAGTTTCCACAAATAAAGTTAATTGGAACACAGCCACACTCGCTGTCAGAGGCTGCTTTCCCTCGGTGATGGCAGAGCTGAGGAATCGCAGAAACCATCTGCTGTTCAAAGCCTAAACTATTTACTAGCTGGCCTTTTATGGAGAAAAATCTGCTGACTCCCCGTGTGGGACATGTAAACTTTTGGGTAAAAAGAGAGAAAATAAGGACACCTGTTGCATGTATTTGCATATTCACAAAGCAACCTTGGAAGGATGCCCTGGGAAGCAGTAACAGTGGGAAGTGGGTGGATGGGGAATAAGCTAGTGTTACAGTGTAATGAATACTCTCTCTGTGCCAGCCTCTGTCCCAGCCTCTATGCCAGCAATGCACATCACATGCATCAGCTCATGTGGGCCTCTCCATACCCCTAAGAGTTACTCACTATCCCCATTTTACAGTCAAGAAAACAGGGGAGGGATTGTCTACGCCTTGCTGAAGGTTGCAGAACTCCCAGGTACAGAAGTGAGGTTACCAAACCAGGGAGGTTCATCCTTAAGCCACCCCAGCACTTGTGATTTCTTTATCACTGTTTTACAGATGAGGACATTGAGGCTTTGAGGAGTTAAGAAGAATAAGTCTGGTGCATATGGGGGAGGGCCTGAAATGTGGGGGGAGGGTTGCCTGGGCTGTACTGAATGGGTAAGGGGGGGCCCTGGAGACTTTGGAGCAGCCCAGCCTCTTTCACTCATTCAAGAAGCACCTATGGAGTGCCTTCACATGCTAGGCACTGAGGTCCAGGGATGGCAAAGACCCTCTTACTCTGTCTGCTTCAATGGAGGCTTGGCAAAGGGACCGGCATCCCAGCAAAGGTGTGGGGCACAGTGGAAGCCACATATTAGCCGTGAGATATTCGTGGTCTTTAAGAAGGTCTAGGACAGGGGTGGGCAACCCCTGGCACACGTGCCAAACATGGCACACCAGTAACTTTTGCTGGCACGCGAAACCCTCTCTTATAATCTTCCATTTACGATTTTTTTCTTAATATCGACTTTTTTATTTTTCAGATAAATTCAGTGTAGGTGCATCTTAGATAAATAAATAATTGTACATAACAAGTTATCTTAAAGACCATAGACATGGATTGACGAGAGAGG